AGAGATAAAAAGATGAATTAAAATGAGTCTGCAGCATCTGGCAACGAGAGGCATCTGTGGACTTGGCTGAATCACTAATTTGTTTGTCAGTAGGCCAGCCTGTAAACAACTCAGACTCCCGACACATTCCCACTGAAGCTTGCCAACACAGACGGCCAGGAAATTATCTTCATGACTCGGCTGACGTTGTTTAGATGAGCTGCAACTCCAACAGAATGACACATTTTTACTAAATATTTTACCAAAACATTCCATTGGTTCCATTTCGTGGTTTGGATTCAAAAGTGTACAAAAAAAACATCTAAACACATTCTTGATTTCTAGATTGCGAAAAGATTCAGATTTCAACAGTTTACCATTTTTAGACAATGAAACACAGTTAGAGGCTCTTTCCAGTATAAGCTCAGGATAAAAAACAGCTTTTTAGTCTTTTTACTTCAGCCTTCCACCAGAACAGGCTAGTTGCAGAGACATCCTCTGATACAGCTTAAGACAATGGAAGATGAGGTCAAAGGCAAACTCCACAAACTGGATCCACGTTAGGACTAAACTGTCAGACAGTAAAAAAAATTCCTCCGAATTCCTCTGGCATTTGCAAATAAAGGCCGAAAAAAACAGGAAAAAAATAATAAAAGGAACTGCAATGGAATTTATAACATGAGTGATTAGATTTGCCAAAGGGTAAATATTGCCAAGAGCTTTTTAGTCACAGAATATTTTCTTTCAGATTGTGAAACTGTAAAACAGTAAAGACAAAATGTTGACTGATTAAACCAGATATTCAAATGCACTGGAAAAAGTTTTCATCATTTGCTGTATGGTATTAAAATACAGCATACAGCAATACCATAACAAGCTAGTTGAAGGAAACCTAAAATGTTTTGCGCAGCATGACTGAGATACAATTATTCCACATACTAAGAAATATATGTAAACATCTAAATTTTAAGAAATCAAATACACACACACAAAAAATCTCTTATTTTTGACATTAAACAAATTGACATAATTTGGGTAATCTCAACTGGTCAAGTTCAGTGTGATTTAATGTCAAGCAGTTAGAAGGAATAGTTGTTTATGTCACACAGTGTAAGCAGCTGGTTAACTCAATAAATGCAAAACAGATTTAGAGAAAAAAATTACACAAGAACTTCATGAAATTACTTCTAGGTAAAATTGATATCTTTTAATTCTAACCTTCAGTATCTTCCTCTCAGTCTAGTAAAACCTGACGCTGTGGCCCTTCCTAAAGTTTCCTAAAGCTGCTTTGGTTCTCACCGATCTGGTTGTACATCTTGAAAGCGATGTCAAACTGCAGGATGACCAGCATGAACTGGAACCAGGGGCTCATCTCGTTCTTGGGCATGGGAATGTGCGCGGCAAACACGATGTTGTTAGCTTCGATCCTCTTAGCCATGGCCTCGTCAAACGTCTTGATCTTCTCACACTGGTCAACACCCCACGGCATGAACCACTTGGTCTCCTGTGGGTATTTGATTTTGTCCACACACTTCGTTGCCAGGTATTCCACCGCACTGGTGGGACTGGGAGCTGTGGGACAGATAGAAATACTAGGATGAAGGTTACAATAAGTACTGCAGGAAAGCTTTACTCTGAAACCTCTACAGCCACACGGTTTGAATGAAATTAGCAACTGAACAAGGTGAGTTCAAGTATTTTCTAAAACAACGTAAAGACAGTTCCTGCTCACTGAGGCAATAAGAGGTCAGTGAGGAAGGCGGCACCATGTTCTGCATTCAGATTCATGAGCTTCACACGAAGCTGATAGTTTCTACTCACATGACATCACTAAAACGTTGAGTTCCTGCTGAGAGAGCTCAAAGTACCACGATACTTTTTAATGAATTATCGTGGTAAGCTTATTCACGTGATATTTTAATTGTGTTTCTTATTTAATGGAAACAGTACAACATTAGCGGAATGCCAACAAAGTCTGGCAAACATTTGTAGTGGAAATGCAGCTGCTGTTTCCAATTTATTAAATTAGTCATTATATTTAGCAACAAAAACCATGGGTATCAGCCAAAATCAGAATCGGCAGGTAAGGCTTTTAAAAGATCGGTGATCAGCCAGAAAACTGCAATCAGTGCACTGCTAATTGTCGCAGAACAGCTGACTGCCTTTTTGGGCTGCCTGTCTCTTTCACAAGCCAACCGCAACAGTCGACCACATTGTCTGAGAAGTTGTGCTTAAATAAATGAAGTTGCCACAAAGATGCAATAACAGCAAATGACTTCAACACCCATTGCAGAGCCAGGCCCTGCATTAATCACAGTAGACAGCAAGTAAACATCTCAGAACTGTCTGCACAAAACTTATACAGCAGCTAAAGCTACTATGTACGCATATGTGGCAGAGCAAGATGATAATTAAAAAATAAATCTGTTTCATTTTCAACTTTGAGCATCAACTCCAAATATCAGCATGAGAAAAGCATTTAGAATCCCTTAATACTTTTAAGCAACACATTAAAGTACAAAACAACCAGAGGACACATGCAAATAATAAGACTGAACAAACTTAAGAAAATATTAAACTGTGGTGAATATGGTGATAACAGAAATGATGGCAATTAACCCAAATTTCCATCACTCTTCTCACAATGAGATGATGACTAATTTAATATGACGCAGGTTTTATGTGTGTGGGCCGTGGTTGTTTTTTTTACTATATGCAGTTTTTCAGCATATCCTTCAACTGGACAGGAATATTTTCCTACAGTAATGACCCAATCTCAATAATCTGACCACAGTCCCAAACAAGCCATTTTTTAATAATCAGCACAATATTATACAGTTTATTATTATAAATAAACTAATTATTAAAAAGTGTTAAAATCTTTCTGCTTTGGGTTCATATATCAAACTTAAACAGTACAGATACAGTACTGGAAAAAATAATTCTTCAACTAGTTTTAATTAAAACAAAAAAGTTGCTGGTGTCTGGTGTCTATGGCAACAAAACCAGTTCATTGTAACTTTTTAATGACTTCACCACCTAGCCAACCATCTCCTTACTCAAAACTTTTTATAGTATAACAACAATTGCACAATCAGATTTTAAATATTATGACTTATGTTGAAATTATATATTATATGATATTTGTGTTGCATTATTACATACCAATTCAAAAACGTTACTGCTGTAAACTTAAGATAGATCCACTGGTGTTCATACATGGCAACAAAAGGAAGCCCCCAGGGAGTTTAATTACCCTGGGGTGGACCTGTGAGTCCAGCAGGTCCACAATGATGGCCGCCCCCTCAGCCCGCTTGACCCCATGCCATGCCACCGGGTTTGTTGGGAAACAAGAAGGGAAAAGAAAAAAAAAAGAAAAGGCTTTCTTCTCAATTACTCCCGCAGACCCTGGCTGGCGAGCAAACACAAAGGAATCTGGCTTCATTAAAACCATCTCAGCCAGGAAAAAGCCAAACAAGCCAATTTATCTGAAAAGTAGCTGGAGATGAAAGGGACTGTGGGGAGGGAGTCGGACTCTGGAAGTTCCCAGGTTCAGTCCAAAGACAAACCCAGGTATCTTTAGCAAGAACTCAACCTCTAGCAACTTAGTATAAATGTGTATCAGTGTTAAAAGAAAAAGAGAAAACGACAGACAGACAGAGAGAGAGAGAGAGAGAGAGACAGAGAGAGAGACAGAGAGAGACAGAGACAGACAGAGACAGAGAGAGAGAGAGAGAGAGAGAGAGAGAGAGGATATGAGGAACCCTGACAGCAACTCCTTTTCAGACCAAAGGCAAAACTGAAGATTGACAGCTGGGTTTGGGGGGTTTCTGTGCATCGCTGTCATGACGGGGAAAGAGAAAGAAAAATGTAGGCTCCGTCTTCTACTATAAAGGAATTTGGGGAAAAGGGAAGACGCTCATGGGGGAGTAAAGGGAAGGTAGAGATGCTGCCTGAGGGCCCCACACACACAGCAGAAGATGCGTACAGGAGGAGGTGAGACTGAATAAATTAACTGGAGGAAAGAACTTTTGAGTTTGTTTCAAAGTAGTGCAAATTTAAAGGGGACATCGGTGCTTAATTTGGAAGAACGATCCTGAAGGGGTGATACCAGGGGTCAAAGTTCACCGACTCACCAAGAAAAATAAAAC